GAGGAGTAGGTTTGGGGGAAGTATCATGAAAACCACCATGGAAACAAACAAGGAAAAAGTGGAGTCACAGCTTGTGAAAGACTTCTCGCAGGTACACACGGGTGATCAATCCGTGCTTCCCACTCCAAGGCATAGCTTCGTTGCACTGAGTTTGCCAAGGAGTGCTCAGTGCCCCTGCCTCTTTTTCTGCGTTGAGGGACTGTAAGTTAGTAGCGATACCAGGAGGCCTTAGTAGCAAAGCCAGGGGCCCTAGTAGCGTCCTTACACCTTGTAGAAAGGTCAGAGGTCCTGGCTCCTGATAGCGAGGCCAGAAGCCCCTAGTAGCGTCGTTGGTGTCCACCGGTCGCCGAACTTTGTACATATAGCGGCGCCAATATTGGCGCGTTTTTGTGAAGACTACTAGCGACCTAAAAAGCCTTAGAAAGACAGAAAAAGCAAACAAAACAAAAGCAGACTAAGAGGGCAAGAAGGAAAGATAGGTGTAGTTACGAGGCCCACTTAGTTAACTGAAAGTAGAGCGCGAGCGGGACATTTTGTCTTAAACCGCCCGGGTAGCTAGCAATAGCTAGGAGAAACAGAAGGAAAGGCACCAACACACAAGTGTGTTGAGTGCGATTTCCTTCTGTTGCTCGAAAAGCGGGTGGGGTAGCAACGAGGCCCAGGGGTAGGGGGGGTTGTGTGTGTGCCTATGCATGTAAATGCCCGGCCTGTGAATACTTAGCTGCAAGACGTGGACATGTGGTTACTTAGCCGTAAAACCCTTAGGAACAGGGGTTGACACACACACACACACCAGGTGCGGATGTGTTTTTTGGAAAAGCATGGATCCCAGTTGTGGAAGGAACTGTGCACAAAATGCATGGATTGGACTTTCCGCCGAGAGAGGAACCCTAGACCTAGACCTAGACCCATCATGAATCATGAAAGATTCAAATGTGTTGAAGGGGCCCAAAAACCGCAAATGGATGACCAATCAACTGGCTCACATTTGGCACCGTTGAATTCATGGACACAACGTCAGAGATTGAGAACGGGGCCTTTCCACCTGCTCTGGCACCAATTGGTCATCAAAAGAGCTCGCATAGATCCTGCCGAGGCCGTGTTCGGCATGGATTTGCTGCACACCACCTTGCCCAATGGCCAAAACTCCTTCCGCTTGAGCTGCGACACACGCTGGCAGCCGCTGGATGCTCCACCCCCACCGCCCGGAGTGATCACCGGCCCCTGGAAAACTGAAGGCCCAAAACAGTGCAAAGAGTTGGGGAACGGAAGGGCGACGGAGTGGTGCCCAAAAGAAGTGACGCTCCCTGGAATTTTTCGAAGGAAGTGGACCGTGGCCCCTTGGATGACCATTTTCCTCCACAAACAGGTGGTTGTTCACTGCTGATTCCAGGAAGTGCAGAAGCGCAGATTGAATCCCCAGGTTGGTTGGCCTGGGAAGAGACACATCGACCAATTGAGCATAGGTTGGCCTGGAATGGTTTTGGGAGGTTGAGTTTAACCCACCAAAAAGACACGAAAGTGAGTGTGTATCCAAGACTTGGAATTCAGACGCCAACAGGGTGTAAGGAAGACGGTTTTTAACACGACCAGTCGTCAGCTCTTTTGGGACAGGACTGACCTGGTCATGAGAGACACATATTATGTAGTTCCCCCAGATCTCTGACCTACTTCCCCATGCAAACCACAAATGAAACAACATTGGTATTGGACTGTGGCTTATGTGATAAAACTATATATAACACAAAACATGCCTACACATATATATATATATATATATGTGGGGAACTATACTAATTGATGCGTATTCTTGGATGCTCCTGCACAAAGGGTGCAGGATGCTTGTTAAGAGCAGTACCGTACCGCCGGGCTCCGAACCTTGGCTCCTGCCCTTGAGAGAAGACGGTTCGGTGAACCCCAAAAAAGCACAGAGAGCGAGAACCCGACGTCACCAGACAAAGACCGGGGTTTCCGACGACCGGGGGAGGAAAGCGATGGTCTCGGTGACCAGGCGGTCTAGAAGGGCCTGATAAGCCAGCGACGAAGAAAAACACCGGAAGAAGAGAAAGACGAGCCCTGGTGACTTCGTGGGCGGAGGATGGAGTGGACCCATCTGCTTGTGACACACGTCGCTGACTTTGGAATGACGCTTGCTACTTGCTCCTCAGATCTCCTGATAAGGTGTATGTCATGTCAAGTAGTCTCAAGAGATTGTAACATACATCACTTAATTACAAACAACTTCATCAGACACTTGACCTGTTCCCAAGCAGCTTTTTAATTTCAGCCCCACATGCTGAACTAATTACAGGGGGTTCGTGCACTCAGTGAGCACTCTAACTACAGCCAGAAATCATGTGTTCCAGATATTCCCGGAGACCTCCCACAGTGAATGCAGGGTGTCAGACATGCCTTGAGCTCAGTCTCGCCCATGTAGGACCATCCATGTAGGACTCAGTCGAGGTCATGGGTGGTCCAGCCTGATGCCACATGGAATGCTTGCTGGAAGGTATTAACTGTTACCCTCCATCCAACAAACATGGAAGTGGAACATGGCCCCGAAAGGAAGACTGAATTCCTCTATGAACAGGCTGTATTCCACTTCAGGGAGGGTAATCAATAAAACCCATATAAAACCTCAATACCGTCTCCAGGCCGGGCCCTAATGGGATTTTATTCATCAGTCGACACATACATGGCCTGGGATGGCCCCGGTCTCGTGTCACCAAACAATTGTACATGGTACCCATGGTACCTGGCACTAACCCCTTGCTGGGTCAACATGGAGGCATTCAGATCTAATAGGCAGCTCTGTCGCACCCTTGGTGTTGCTTCGCCATGGCGTTGCTTCGCCTCCTTGCTTTGCTGCGACTCATTCCACTGGCGTGTTCTGGCAGCTGTGCAGCTCAAAGAGGAGCAGCAGCACGGGCGTGGGACAGCATTGAGCCGGAATGTAGAGACAAATTGGAGAAGAACCGATTCTTGGATGCACCAATTATGCCGTGTGGCGCTTTTGTTGGGGGTGCGATGTCCTCCGTCGCACCCCACGGTCGTCCGATGTGGATTCGTGCGGAAGGACAGATGCGTCGTCGTGAGAGAACACCTGCCAATCGTCGGAGTGTTGCTTCAAGAGCTCCGATTTCAGTATGCCTGTCAGGGGTCAAGGGAAAAGAACGCCACCCCACCCCTCAAGGCAACCATGGATGGCTTTGGCAGCTTGGGGGATGTCATCTTCAGTGTTGAAAGATGCGGACAGTTGTTGGGTATGTTGGGTGTTTCTCCTTGTGGCGCGACGCCTCCATTGTACTGCAACATACCGCAACAGACAATGTGTAAACTGCAACTGCAACAGATTTGAAGCCCAGCAGCATGAGCAAGGTGTGCATGTGGCCATATCCACAAACAGGCTTTACTTTGCAAGACAATCACCATTCGTCCGGGAAACTACAGGAAACCGCAACAAAAACACTCTTTCTCCAAATCCACCCTTTTGGAAGAGGGAGTTGTTCCAGGCTCTTGAGCATCCTGGCGATTCTTGCAGTAGACGAAGAGCGAAACAGATCCAAAGACCTTGTTGTTGGAACCTGTGTTGTGGACTGCTCCTTCGGAAGACATGCTCATCCAACTCCCCGAGCGAACAGCAAGCCTCCCAACAAAAACACGCTTGGAAGATCTGCCCAGAAAGCAAACCCCATGGCACCATGGCAGGTGGTACTTGAATGGGCCTGCGCCTGCTGGAGAGGCCGATTCGGGTGGGACCAAAACCTCCGAAAAATCGATCCATGCCGTTCCAGGCACGGCCGCAGCCCTGCGGTGCTTGGAGGGCCATTTCTGGGAGGCGCGCGGCCCCGGCCAGCGCGCCGGGGACTTCTTCACCACGCTGCGGAAGCTCCGGCATGATGCGGAGATGCCGCTTGGGGCTTGCACATCGGACCAAAGGATGAGAGGATTCAAGACCTGGGACCCGACTTCACAGGTGTTTCCGGGTGACAACTGGTGTCGGGAAACCACCTCTTAGGGTCCTAGAATACCACCTGTTGGAAGGTCCTGGTAGGGCTTTCTTGGGGTGGCCAAGTTGGACCTTGAGAGAGCCACGGCCTGGCGACCTAACATCCTTCGTCTCCGTGATCAGGGGAAACCCTTCCTCCACACCGGGCCGAAACCTAGTCCGAAGGGGCTCCCGTTCCGCCGTTCGCGGTCTGCAAGGTTCACTTACCTGGAACAGGAAGGAAAGGTCACCGCCGAGGTGAAAAAGCTCTTCAGAGGCAGCAGAATACAGATTGAACGCGAAATGGGAATCCAAGGGAATTAAATGCCACCAGTAATAATAAATATACCCAACATGGGGGGGGTAGCTTTGGGGAGCGACGGACGGGGATGTTAGCGCCGTGCCTAGCCTACTAGCCCTCCTCGACCTCTGTGACAGGTGTGTTCCATTCGGCCAAGAAGCAGCATGAGGACCCTGACAAGGTCTTCGAGTTGGCGTTCCAAGAGGAGGGGAGCCAGGGAACTTGTCAGACTCTCAGGTGCCCATTGGGTGTCACGAGGGGTCAAAACTCCACGCGTCTGAGACGGTGCCGGGGTCGTTCCAGTGCCGGTCCACGACGTTCTTCTCGCGTCGCTCGACGCTTCTCGCGTCGCTCTCGGGGGGTTTGGAGGACACAGCTGATCGAAAGCTTTGGCAGAAAGCGAACAACAAGGCCGTTTACTGGGATCCTGCAGGCCACGAGTTGCCTGCAAGGACCCTCCGTGCCAAGCCTGCTGCGCTGAAGGGCCTGGAGGAGAGAACATTGAGAAAGATGAGGCTTTGGAATCCGAGGCCACCGGATGGAGATGGTGTACATCATTGTACATCTAGCTTAAAGGGGGGGCATGTGTGTATAACATGGTATCACTGATGCTTTCCCTTTGTCCTCTGGGTCAGTCGGAAAGTTCGATCTCTTGGTGTGAGATCTCTTGCCTCGTTTCCTGGGTCTCCTGGGTCTCCTTGGTTCGTCCCTGGGGTTTCCTTTCCACCTTGGCCAAGGAAGGATCTCCACTTTCCTTCCACAAAGCAGGACAGCTTTGTGGCGACCGGTCGTGCAGTGAGCGACAAGTTCTTAACAGACAAGACCTTGCGGCAGCTGAAGCGCTTCCTGCAGGCCGGCGAGCTTTGCAGATGCGCTGAAAATCCCAGTGGCCTGCGGACTACCAATCTCCTACCACAAGTCACCTCCGATTTGGTCCAACATGAAAAGTTTGGGAGGGTGTTGGAAGCAGGTATGGCATCCTAGCATCGCTAGTAGTTGGAGGACTTGGAGTTTGGGTGTATCTTTGAGCAAGCCTGGCATCCAAGCCTGGCATGGTGGATTTTGCGGTGGAACATCCACTCCTGACAGCCTGAAGACCAGAGGCTCCTTTCAGCGTAAACGGAAGACCCAGCGGTTTGGAGAGAGAGCTCCTCTCGTTTGGAAACTGTAAGACTGTAGGAGATGCCAACTTCAACCGTTTATGGCACTGCTTGTCAACTCTCCTTTGCACGGAGCAGAGCAAAAAGACAGTCTTGCAGCATCAAGGCTTCCACGTTCTACTTCTACCCGCGGAAGGGTGCTCATTTGTTAGCGCTGCTCGAGGATGGCTTAGCCTCGCCCATTTTGGCACAAGTCGTCGATGGCTTGAGACACTCGGGTCGAGAGTCAATTTGTTGGGTGGAAGTGAGGTCCAAATGGGGCCAGAAGATAGCAAAGAAAGAAGCAACGTAAGAAAGATATATAGACAATGGTAGACAGACGGATGCTGCATATGTCTCCCAAAGTCTTCTTGTGCTGGGGGAGCTCCCGGCAGATGGTTTTAGCGTTCATCGGGGAAGTTCATTCACCTACGAGGGTCATTACTTGTAGGACCCTCTTCAGGAATGGCAAGGGGGCCCTTTCCCAAGGCCCAAAGAGGGTGGGACGCAGAGGAGCCATGTTTGGGATCGTTTGGGTGAAGAGCGCCAAGGATTTACAGACAGTTGCAGATTTTTTCATCAGGACTGTTCCAATTGCTACTACTAGGCCCAGGCCCTAGGCAGATGCTTCAAGGTTCAACATCAACATTCCTTCTGTTGGCCCTACACTTTTGCCATCTTTTGCCCAGAAGGGAATAGAACCATCTCATGATATCTCATGTCTCCCTTTCCTGGACGACTTGATGCTTCCCTACCACCTCTGCAGCAGCAGTGCCTCACCGAGGACAGGCGCTGCCTGGGCTACTACCAACGCATCTGCCGCTGCAGGGGCTGCGCGTCTGGAAGGCGGACAATTCAGCACTCCCACGCCCGCCTGCGGACGGGCCGGAGCTGGAACCTGGAGGCCCAGTTCCACAGTTGGGATGCTAAGTGGTCCAAATGAGATGTATATTCCAGGACCATCCTGTCGGGGTGTCCAATGGGCTACCCCACACTATACCTATAGGCTTCCATTGGGCACCCCTTGGATGGTCCAGGTCTATTTATGTGTGGTATGCAGCTCTGCATTATGCATATAGTGATATATGCATAGTGATATATGCACGTCTCAACAGGGGTGAGCGGCATTTTGATCACCATGCGTGACCCAATCAAGGATAATCAAGGTAGTTGAGCCCTCTTCTTGGACCCGCAGTCAAGCATGGAGAAGTCCGGGGCATGTCAAGGCCAAAACCCCCTCACCGCCCCATTCCTTTTCCTCGTCTCCCGACAACGCTCCACCGATTCCATCTTACCCCCGGACTCCTAAGACACCTCCGAACCACACCTCCGAGAGGTGACAGCAACCCCCTCCGAGGCGCGGTGAATCTGCTGCTGTGGCTGGTGCCCAGCTCGGCGTTGCACGGCTCCGCCGCGGACGCCCTGCAACTCTTCAACGCCACGGACGCCACGGAGCGCGGACCCGTTGCCGCGCCGGTGGCGAGCATCCGCTATGCGGCGAACCGGGCGGTGCGGCGGGTGGGGAAGGATGGAGCACTTCAACAGACTACTTGGCATTGGTGTCATAAGTCATACTCGATCCAGACTACTTGGGCGTGTTCTTTGGGTGTTTCGAGCTGAGACTTGATTTCTCACAGGCTTGACCTTGTCAAGCCACCCCGATTGATTGAGCAACATTTTGGAAAGGTGAAAGATGGTGAAAGGAATTCTAATCGACAACGAAGCCTACTGTATAGAGTTGCTTCCAAGTTATATACATATCTATCATGATGTTTCCATGTTCCATGTGTTGTTGCACCTGAATGACGGATCAGAACTGCCCCGCAGGTTTTTTGGCGGGAAGATCTACGTGCTGTGTGGTCTGGGCCATCTTGGAAGTCAGGCTTCTTGCAGAGACTAGGCAAGACTGAACTCCTACGTAGTGGAAGTTCGGTGGAACCAAACCAAATGGCAGGACAAATCAAAACTGAATTTAGGGCCCTGGGTTCCATACATGTCCATACACGTCAGCTGCCAGGCACGCAAGACAACAAGAAAACGGAGCTAAATGTGAATGTGTTGGTCGTGACCTCCAACCATAAACACATGATAATAAAACATAGGCATACGCTGGCACAATATAACACCATGTGATATAATGGGTGGTTTCAATTTGGACTTGTCCCATGTCTTCGAGACAACTCCGTTGGACCAATCAGGTGGGGGAGGGATGCGGCATTTTTTGGTGGGAACAGAAGAACTGGAGTGGCACCCCCCATCGGAGATCCATCACTTCAGGAGAGGTCTCCACCTCCTCTTCACCTTTGGCCTGGCTCAATGTGAAGCGTGATCCGTTCACGTCCAGCGCCACCCAAAAAGGGCGAGTCGAGGGGAGCACCGAGTCTGCCAGGCAGTGTCGACGTGGATTTTCATTTTTGGCCATCCATAGCTCAACCAGAACCTGCCAAAACATCACGTTGACCGATTCAGTTGGAAAAACCATGAAAAACCCTTTCGACCCTCTTTGTTGATCAAGATCCCTACTAAGTTCATTCTCATGAGTTCTCACTGATTTGAGATTTGACGACCTTGTCCTCCACAAAGCTGTGGCTTTTTCGATGCAAAGTTGATTGGAAGGGGTGCATGTGTGAGGGCGCAGGGCGGCATGAACCCTTCCATCCCTTTGGATGGTTTTTAAACGGTGAGACAGATGAGCATCGATCCGTATTCGTGGCGGCCGGCCCGGGCCTTGAAAGGCTGGTTGATGAAAGCATGGACAAAGACAAAGTAGAAATCAAGACAAAGAATAAGTAAGCTAGATTGAATGCAGATGAATGCAGTGGCTGCAGTGAGATTAGTCACCAATCCTCGGAGGAAAAACAGTCCGCTTCAGACGCTGGAGCTGAACCGAGGTGCTCATCAGAACTTTCCCAACCTCTCGAAGTCCTCCGCAACTCCTCCACAAATCCTTCGAACTTTGCCTTCTCGCATTTTTTCGTCGCCATGGCTAGCCCGGAGCGTGCCTGCCAATCGCAGTCTTTCGATGTAGCTTGGTGGCGCAGTCTGAGACGCCCCGTCTCAGCCCGCAACGAACTGAGGTGAGAGGTGGATATAGGTCCGGACGGTGGATGGGAGGGTGGATGGTGGGTTGACCTAACCAGGGGTTCCAGTTCCAGTGTGGGGTGCGGGGTGGATAATAGGCTCTGACTCTTACATGGAACTCCGTGATTGGTTGAGATCCCCAGGCTCCAACTAAGGCAGTCCATTCTGTCAATTGGCTGTGGTATTCGGGACGACGGAAGATGCGTTGCTACTGCCCGTGAGCCCGTACGTTGGTTGCTGCTAGAGACTTTCGAGGACATCCACTTCAACAAGTGAAGACGGCTTGGCCCCAGGCAGCCCCAAGAGGGCTTCAACACATTCAACCACGTGCCAAAACGGAAGCTCGTGGAAGGGACACCTCCCGGTGTTGAGGGGATGGCCTGGAGCCAGTAATTCAAACGCAGTCCAACGCAGTCATGACCCACAAGGACGAGTGGTGAACTGGAGGACTGACAGCCTTTTGAAAGACCATGGCTAACAACAATATGCAACCCTGCTAAAAGATGCTAAAAGCGAAGCAATATGGAGCAACCAAGCCTAAAACTGCATGGTTTACCCCGCAAAACAACCCGCAAACGAACATGGAGCCAACATTAATCAATTACGAACTAAATACAATATGACTCCGGAGTATTGTTTGCTCTGAAAGAGGGACGCCCCTCTCACATGCCTCTTTAATAATAGGGCCTTTCCTTTTGGGGAACGGTCCCCCTCAAAAGAACGGAGCCGGACCAACGGCGCTCGCAAGAAGTCTCGCCCAGGAGCGTCTCCGAGGCTCTGAGTTACCGGACTCGCGCAGGGCGCGCAGTGGTGGTGCCGCTCGGTGGGTCTTCGGGCCGAGGATCGGGTGCCGAGAGGCGTGGGGTTGGGGGGGATCCTGGAAGTTGGAGATCATGTTCAATGCTTGGAGGGATCCTGGAAGTTGGAAGGGATCCTGGAAGCGGGGCGGAAGAGCGCCTTTTTCGAAGAAGCGATGGGTCCGGGAGCGAGGCGCGAGCGAGCTGCGAGCTGAGGCGACAGCAGCGGCATAGGACGAACAGACCACTTTGGGGCAAATTGGACATCTCCCAGCACCACCCATTTCAGATGAGACGGGATGGAAGACTTCAGCGGATCCGGGTGCTGAAGGGATGTGAAGGGGGGATAGGATGAACCACTTGAACCGGGGTGCTGCTAGACCTGTCAAGGACCTTGCCCACCTGGCATCGGCAGCAGCATCGATGTATGTAGGAAAGGCCAGTCGGCGACGGTCGCGTCGTGGCGCGGGACCCAACGTCTGGTTCTTTTTACGGCTTTGGTCAATCTGTCACCTGTGGTCTTGCAGAAAAACATCTCCAACAGCTCAAATCTCCAACACGGGCCATGTCCAAGTGTTGCGATATAGACTATCGGCCGCGCGCGCGTGCACCGCAGGTGATACCCGTCGCCAAATCGACACCCTACTTGCCTCAGCGGATGCTGAATGTGAGTGATGCGCGCCCCGGAAGAGCGAGCTTGGCGGTGCGAAGGGGTGCCAATCCGAGTCTTTGGTCAGCCCTGGATATCCCAGGGATATTTTATTGTATATAGGGGTGGGGGTTGCCACTAAACTTCATCAAACCATATGTTTGTGTTATGGGGTGCAATTTGTTTCCTGGGCGTCTACGTAGTTGTGTGGGCGTTCCGCAACAGAAGGTGGCGGTCCTGGGTGCCATTAAAAATGGGTGCCAGTAAAGATGGTTTGTACCAGGACCATCCAAGGGGTGTCCGATAGACTACCCTGCACTACCTAGAGATCTCTATTGGACACCCTTTGGATGGTCTAGGCTAGGTATATAACACACCTGAACCGCCTGGTTGTTGCGTTCGACTTCCGGCTCGACGTCCCCACGTCCCCACCGACCGAGGTCCGATAATCTGGACGACTCCACCAGCAAGACACCCTCCACCAGCAAGCGGGTGCCGATGGATATCTCGGAGCTGGTGAAGCAATTTGAAGATTTGATGCATGAGTCTCGGAACAGGTGCCGATTTGGGTGGGGTCTCAGCTGTCAATCGATTCCTCAAAGGGTCCCAACCAGAAGCGGCCAGAAGCGCCTGCCAGATAGTCCACACAGATCCACTTGATGAGTATAGCCATAGCTTCAAAAAGCATGATGCACATGGAGAAGGTGAATTTCAGGTAGATAGTCACTGAGTGAGTTTCCAACCATGGATTCGGATGGTGATCGTTCCAAGATACGGCACTGAACATGGGACATGGCATGGTGAGTGTATCAGACGTCTTTGGAGAGAAAACCCGAATGAACAGTACCATTTGTTCCAATGAGTTTTGGGGATCACAAGTGCTGTAGATCGATGTATATAGATCGAAACGGTGGATTCCAAAAGAAGCTTGGGATGCATTTTCGACATCCATTTGAGGATTTTGAGGTATACTTTGTCATGAAGTACACCGAGTCAGATCTCATGTCATGAACTTTCTTCTTTTGGGATACCCGCACGCATGTTTCATGCACGTGGCGAGCGAATCCATCGCTTCGATTTCGGCCTTGCTCAGGACTTTCGAGAAGATCCACAAGAGCACAGCTCACTCTTCAATGTCATTGGGCCCAACCCTTGGAACTTAGGCCAGGAGAAAGACACTTATGTATACAATTATATACAAGTCAGTGTTGGTCAATGGATGGGACCTACAACAACCTACAATTCTTCGAGAAGAGACTGATTCACTGATGATGTGAACGCGGTCAGTATCCATGCCATTTTGCATTCGCATCGTTTTCGCCCAGGGCATCCAGGAGAAGGCCACCCTAAGTCTAGCTATTTGTTGATGTAACAAGATACCCTTACGGGAATAAGAGCTTCGAGGCGGAAGCGCTACGGTTCATTGACTTCTAGGGAGATGACAAGGCAGAGAACATGACTGGAGGGAGCCCCTGTTTGACTGCGCGAACACTGTACCCCGGGAGTCCAAGACTAGTCAATCAATTGTGTTTAGATGACCCGAAAAGGATCGAACAGGAATTCTTTAAAGACATGGTGGTAAAAAATAGTTTTTGGATATCTTTCGATATATTTAGTCTTATTTAGGCGAGTATTTAGGACATCTTGGGGGTGCGGTTGAAAACTCACCGGCGCAACACGAGTTCGCCGCGGCGAACACTCGCACGTGGGAGGCTTTATTCAAACTGGACCTTTGCAGAAGAGGGCCATCAACCTCCTAAAGGCGAAGGGGGTGGGCTTTGCTGGAAGGAGTGGAGAAGCAAGAGGGTTTTGAGGTAAGAATATGGAAGAGTTTGGGCAAAGACTAGCTCTTGAGGTAAACATAAGGTAAACTGGTGAGAAGAAAGTTCTGCATGGCTGTGGTGATTTGGGGGGCTACATGATGTAGCCCCACACCCAATGCACAGATTACCTCTATCGGCATGAATATATATACATATATATATATACATACTCAACTCGATCTCCAGAATCACATCTTACAATAATTAGTTGTGATGCTGGAAACAAAGATTGCTAGCAGTATGATTCAATGCTACCAAGCGCGTCCAATGGGTGTCCCAAGCGCTTCAGACCCATCAGCGGCGGTGTAGGCGCCAGTGACCCCTAGGCGACAGTGACCCGCCGATCTCATGCGCGGAGCGGCCCCGCGGCCCGCCGCCGTTCCGGCGGAAACAGGTCTTTTCGCGGAGTATTGTGCTGCAGTTCCCCAGGGCCTACTCGCTGGAAGAGGCGGCGCGAAACCTCTCGGAGCGGCTCGCTGCTTCCAAACAAAGGATCCCACCAGAAGGATTCTTGAACGATTACACGAATTAGAGTGCGATTCTACAGAGAGTCAATTGCGCAAGTCTACGCAGTGCAACCATGTTGGATGACAAATGATGACAATATGAGTCATACGAGAGAATGCTGCTTCTCAACCACCAGTCGCACCAGTGGTCTTTTGTGTTTCTTCCCCGCCATTCAGCTACTCTCAATCCACGATCCTGGTGTTACCCGCCGAAAAAGACTAACACAGACTCCCAAAAGCAGCCATGTATGTAGAAACACTGCAGGATGAACATGCTATGAAAAGACGAAAACTTCACGCTCCATATCGCTCTACTGCAGGAAACGTCAGGGCTTAGTGATGGTCTTTTGATGTCGAACTCGGGGCGGAGCCGGGCCTCGAACTCGACTCAGTCAATGAAGCCTCCGGGCGTCCGGGGCTGGCTACGACCGTGCAACCTTTGCTTGGAGGACGTGGGGCAGCTCTGCTTGGAATAGGTCCCGTCATTGGGGCAGACCCTCTGAGTTTTGGGGATCAGAGATCCAATAATTGGTGGTTTCTGAGCACATGCACGAGCAGATGGCACATGTTTACATGCTTCGTGCTTGGAGCTTTTCCACTCAGGCAGTGGACGCAGATATGTTTGATCCATGCCTCCTGGGTGGCACGCAGATGGTTCCTTTTTTGTTTAAGGATCGGTCTATGAGTCATGAAAGTCTCTGAACAGCACTGACACTTCCCACGGTTGAAGCCGCCTTGATGAGACAGCTTCAAGAGAAAAACCTGCAGAGAGAGAGAGAGAGAGAAAAAACACAGAGAAAAAGAGAACTCAGGTGTCTGCCTTTTGCAAGTACGACAATCTGGAGAAAGATGTGCAGTTGATTTTGAGTTCCTTTGCTTCACATCCGAGCCTTCAAGCACGCACGTATAATGTACACGTGGCCGACGCCTTCACGACTTCGTGGTCGAACGTGGAGGTTCCAAAGGTTTTCTTTAAATATACACCTTGAAGCGAAGTGACTGACCTTATAAAATACAAATACTGTATATAAATAAAAGATGGCCATCGGTTACTTCTATGTTTACATTCTATTACGTCTTTGCCCTCCATGTTTATGCATGTTTATGGTGCAATTTTCTCTTTTTTTAATGAAGGGCAACCAATAAGATACACATTGTCACATGATACAGCTTTCACCCTCCAAATTTTAAAGGTAAGAGACAGTTTTCATAAATTTGGAGGGCAGGAAAGCACAAGCGTGGGTCATGTCGGGGCTTTTTTGAATGTACACATATGACCTACAGATACCTACAGATACCACAAACACTGGCAAGAGGAAGTTATGACAACATGATTGTAGATATACATCTTACGCCCTGGAAGATAAGATGAGCATCATGGGCTCCCATGGGAAAACAATCGTGGTGCTCTGAAGGGGTTCTTTGGGGCGCCCTTCGTGGACGATGTGAACCAAGAATGGGTGTGGCACAGCCAAAGGCTGAAGAAATGAAAGAAACATGTCCTTCAGCCACGTCAGTTGCATTCCAAGAGGTTGCCCCCATGCTGCCAGAGGCAAGCAGGCATGCTGGCTGGGGTTGTAACCGGTGGAGAAGACTGCGTAGCTCTTCATGATGTTGCGCACTTGAGGGGTGGGTAGACCTGGAAGAGTGCTTTTAGTGGTTGACAGGGCTGGTACCTTGAATTCGCAGCAAGGCCCCAGATTCGGGGTGTGGCTTGGATGAGGTCAGGGAGGGAACATCAATGCGAGAGCCTTCTTCGAGGTCTCGCTGCCATACCAAGACAGGGTGACTTGGAGATTGGGAGGTGTGAGTGTATGTGTGTGTGTGTGTGGTGGTGCTGGGCTTGTGCTCGCTACAACAAAAGCTGGTCAGATCCATGCTCAGATCAGGAGACTTCGGGATAGGAGACTTCAGGGTTCCTTTTAAACCCAGCTTTCGGGTTGTTTGGGGTTGTTGAAAGCATGCATGTCCTCTCAACCCTAATATTTTGGGGTCACATGGATCGGGATGGTCAGATCCATGCTCAGATCAGGTCACCCCCCACAATGGCTCCAAGCGCTCCAGAGGCCTGGTGAGTCTGCTTCCTTTCTGCCCAGGACGAGCCGACGGCGGTGAGCTGCTCCGTGCAGCCGCTGCATCTGGCGGTGCACGCGGGGAATCTGCGGGGAGTGGAGGTGCTCTTGCGGCAGAAGGCGGCCCTGGAATCCAGGTGGGGCGGCTTCGGGGGAGCGAGGTGGGATGGGGATGAAGTGAACACACACACAAACACATCTCGGATGTCATTCTTGAAAAAGGGAGGAGAAACTAAGGGCTAAGGTGGGGACACCACTGGGAACAGACAAGGCCTGGTCCACTGGGTGGGTGGGATGATGTGTGATTTGTAGTTGTCCTTTTTTTGGAGAGTAATTTTTCCATATTTTTCCACAATAGATCGGACCACTTCGGTGTGATTTCTTCAATACACGACCCCCACACCCATGTGGCACCTCAAATGGAGAGAATCATGCAACATCATTATCGCTCAATTCCGTTTTGGGCTTGCTGGATTCAATCAATCCCATTTGTGATTGTCAGTGGGTTAGTAATTACCCTTTTGAACGGTCTGTAACTGACTCATGCCATCGGCTGGTTTTCACCTCCCAAACACATACAATACAACAGTCTTCCACTTTCACTACTAGGCTGCTCTTCACCTTCTTAATTTGTGGTATCTTGAAAACAGCCTCCCGGTCAATCAGAATTCCAGGACTAGTTTGGAAAGGATGAGGGGGTTGACGAAGCGAACACCTGGATCGGGGGTGAACAGTTAGGCCCAACAAAACAACATAGCGTTGTTTTTCGGCTGCAAGCCCCCCCAAAAGAAATAACTCGGGAAGATGGTCGATGGTCGTTGTGGTTTGGTTGCGCCCTCAAACCACGGACCACATGGACCGGTTGGACCGGTCGATGGTCGATGGTCGAACCAGGTCCTTCCGGTTCCCGCCCGTCCGTTCAAAAGTGACATGGTGCCAGTCCTCCTTCGTCCTCGTCCTAGAACCAAGACCATGGGGACCAGTCCTCATCCAGGTTCTCGCTCCCCATCACGGCGACCCACCTGACCGCAGCCGGTGGGTCTACATCCGCCCTTCGCCCTCCTCCCGTTCCGCGGAACGGCGCGTGGACCTGCGTGGACCCCGCAGGTCCACGTTCGATGCTGTGCCCGACTTCACTCCTTTGCACCTGGCGACCGCTTTATGGGCGCGGATGGGAGAAGAGTCCCTGAAGCAGCATGAGGCCGCACGTGACGCCTTTGCGACGCGTGTGATGCATGCATCAGAATGCACGCATGCATGTGCATGGCACGTGTGGATGTTGCGGTGTAGTGTTGATGTGTTGAGGGTGGATAGGCGCGTATTTGGGATGGGCGAGAGTGTTCGAGAGCTTTGAGGCTCAAAAGAGGTCACTGGGTGCTAGTGAAGCCGGATCCTTTGGGACCGTGCTGCCAAAACTTCAAACCCGCGGATGCCATTTCCTCATCTGATCAGGAACATATCGAGGTGATGGTAAAGGATGGTAAAGGTTTATAATTTCAAGGTGCAATTAGTAATCTATGCTGTACGCATTTTGGCTCAATAATAAGTTTAATATGGTAAAATATATATAGCGCTATATAGTATATATCATTTATAACTTTTGAGGTGAGCACAAAATGGCACCGGCACTGCTTCGTGAAAGAAGAGCGAACCGAAATCTGTCTGGATGCTGGGTGCAGAACTCAAGTATACCCATTGAGTCACGAACGTGAATAGTTTAGGAGACGATTTGGTAATCTGGAGGGGTGGGGGAACCAAACTACTTTGCACAACCTTCCATTCAATCTTGGAGGCCCCGTTCTTGGATAACTAGGTTCATCCAACCAGCCTCTTGACCAGCCTTATGCATGACCAACCCAAAAGGCGGCCCTCCCCACCTTGCCTCTGAGAAGGAATAGTGAGAAAATCACAGACTTGTAAGGAGTGCTTGGGACTAGCCGCTCACCACCCACACGAGCTCAAAACCAAATACTGCTTCAACCGAGATCGGGGTGTGTGCAGTAGAATAATAGGAAGACCTCCTGGAAGAAGGACGCCCAACCCAAACTCCAGCAACCCAGTGGTCTATTGAAATCCGCCGTCCAGACCGGAGCAACTCCGATGTCCATCCCATTCCCAGCCCCACTCCATGTATGGCCCCTACATTGGGGTGTTTTCAGGGGTGAATGTGGGTATACCCTCCCTGAAACCAACATGGAAGTGGAAAATGATCACTTGGAAGACAATTTTCTTCTACAAACAGAGGGTTTTCCAATCCATGTTAAGTTTCAGGGAGAGTATATGCCATACATGGCGTATCTGGGATTGGTTGTGACGGACTCCCCGTTGGTCCATTGGTAACGCCGCTGCGCAGGTGGTGAAACTACTGCTGAGTCACACGGCCGACCCCCATGCCGTGGACCTGAGCGGTGCCAGCTGCAACGATTTGAGGCGCAAAAAACGAGTGGGAGACTCCTAGTAATTATAGCTTCATGTTCCTAGTAGTAAGGCCAGGAGCGCCCCTAGTAGCTTCATGTTCCCAGCAGTAAGGCCAGGAGCGCCCCTAGTAGCATCCTTGCTCCTAGTAATAGTAGCGATGCCAGGAGCGCCCCTAATTCGTAGCGTCCGATCGCTCCGTTCGTAGCGAGTTGTTCTGAGGGGCCCACTCGACTGGAACATTGAAGTTTTTTTCCTCCCGGGTGATGGAAACCGGGACGGGGTGGCAGAAGATTCCGTTGGGGTGTCGTTTTTCGGATGGCCCAACCTCAGTGAGAGATGTCGGGAAATGACGATCCAGGCCCGGGGGCCACAAGACGCGTCCCGCGCCCTCATTGAAGAGAGGAATGGTGGTGGTGACTGGGCAGCAGGCTGCGACACTTGTGGTGTGGGATGGTGCGCTTGCGATGATATGTTTTTCTCCATGGTTTTCTTTTCAGGAGCACTTTAAGGGGCTACAGGTGATGCCGGAATTCTACCATTGTACCACAGACATTCGCAAAGCGTCTTCAGCGGCTTGTACGACCCTGCAGCTCCGCCATACTTACCAGCTCACCTTGCTTGTTTTGGAATCCCAGAACCTCAAGTCCTTTGTGCGCATGGTGCGCACCTGCCATGCTGTGCCCCTTCTTTGGGAACAGCTTCTCTCCGTGGAACTCGCTCCGAACCGCTCCGAACCCTTCGCTGCTCACCTCGCCCAGACGGTGGACGTGGACCTCGCGAAAAAGTTTCGGCTCCAGCGGCAAGCGCAATTGCTCCCTGGACCCGTCACCCCCGCGTGTGGGACGACGGAGAGCGCGGACCGGGAAACCACACTCAAGCCTCTTTGATTCATCAGGATCAAGCAACCAATGAATAGTATTAAAAGATACTAAAAGATCAAGATAACACCATCGAATTAGAATCCATTTGCGACCACTGAGGCACGTCGTTTTGTTTCGTTCCTGAAGTGTATGGATGGAATAAAGTAGCCCATAAATATGGTCAGCCTCCCATGGGTATTACTTTGGACTGATGTTTTGGCGCCACCAAGGTTTCAAACAGGTTGAACATAGGGGAACCTGCCAGTATAATTACTGAAAACTAGTCGGTTGCGGCATTGCGGATCCAGTCTCATTGATTCATATTGAGCATGTCACATAAACAGGGACAATGGCCCATGTCTAATCCACAAATTGGGAGTTTCTGTTTGGAAAGTGATGTGTTTTGCTGGCCACCAGATTTATGACCCGGTTATTGCATTACCCTTACATCTTGTGAGGCTCTGTCAGGGTAGTGTTGTTCAGTGGCATGTCCCAGGTTGAAGCAGGGGTGGCCAATCCCAGGCTTGAGGTGTTTGGAAAATCTCTCTATCTACTTCGGGATCTTTGGGGTGTAGTTTTCGCACACAGAGCACCAAACTTGATGATTGTGTTTTGCACAGGCACATGTGTAATACTATAATTGTACCATAGAATAATGTATAGTACGCATGTATATATATATATATACATATAGATAGAGATATAGACACACCTGTAGATACAGTAGGCACAAACAGTCACAAACATTTGCACTTGTCATGCCATTCATGTTTGTTGCAATCATCCGCAGCTAGATAGGACCAGCTGTGTCCTTGCTGCCCCTTCATCCTATATTTAATATTTGAGGATGACCATTCCCCGAGGTTTCAGAAACCCTGCGCCCCGGATCCATCCCCAAGGCTGCTGCAGGAGGAGGAGGATGCCCGGCGCTCAGAGTTCGTGATCATGGAGAACGTCGAAGATGAAAGCGAGCATGAGCTGGTGCCTTGGCCCCTGGAAACAGTCCTTGAGACATGAAAGCTCAACCTTTTCAAGACCAGCTGGCCTCTGCCAATGGACCAGGTTGAGTGTACTGGTGGTTAGCCATCCAGGTAGAGGCACGTCCAAGAGCTCGTGAGGCTCAGCCGATTCACAAGCCCACCTCACAGTACTCACATTCCATGCGGCTGGTTGAAGTGTGGAAGAAGGACCTTCAGGTGTCTCCCATCCAGTCGCCGTTCATGTTCTTCCCCTTCCAGCCTCGACCCATGGATCCTGTATGGAACCCCATGGATCCCCCCATGGGGTTTCCATGGGAAGGTACATATCCAAATGATCCATACGCAACTGGGCAGCACAGGCGGAACTTGGAACATGCATCCTCTTAGTTGAATTTTGCAAAGAACCGGGTAGTCCTCCAACCAAGTTGGTGCAGGATGCTGCAGAGAGTGTCGGAGTGGTGCGGCAGTAGCAGAACGAGTAGTTGGACAGAGGAGGTTGGGATTGACCTGAGCCTGGTACCATCTGGTACCATTAGTTGGACAGAGGAGGTAGAAGTTAGACGAGTAGTTAGACAGCTCGTTCTCTTCGCCCCTTCGACGGCTGCCGTCCCAACTCGGGTTCGACGTCTTTCGGCTGAGCATGAAGTGCCGCAAGTGCCAAATTCAATGAAACCAGACTCGACCACCACTCGGGAGCTCAATGAAGAAAGGCAGGCATCCGAGTTCCACACAGTTGGATGCAACCACCTGGAACATCCAAAGACCCTCCTAGTAGGTCAACACCTTCCGTATACTGCCTTGTTTCTGCCTCACGGATGATTCCATGGCTCCACTGGAGCCAGAGAAAAAATGGCTCCACCGTGTCCGGAGGCTGTGACGGTCCGTCTGTGGTTTCATCCATCCCTCCACGCTGTTCGCTGGAGCGCGTCCCACTGTTCGCTCGCTCGCTCGCTGGGAGAGTTCCACCCAAACCTCCGACCGAGCCTAGGGAGCTATTGGAAGAGCCCAAGCACATCAAACTCCCTCAGAGCTGCGTCACGGTCATGGGCCGCTGGACGGTCACGGGAAAAACCACGTGGTGTTTTGGAGACCACGAGACGTCAAAAAGGGGGTGGAAACGGCAGGGGTTGGACGAGGATGCAGGGTGGACGTGGACGTGGACGTGAGGTGGTTGTTTGGGGGCGGTTGGGAATCTAGGCATTGGCTCCGACGGAGGCTTGCCTATGTTTACATGAAAAGGTGCGCAGTGGGTCCTGGTGTGGGTGCATTGATGGGGTCCTTCACCAGCTTCCCCAGCTGGTCATGGGATTTTGGAGGGGTCCACGGTCCACGGGTCAACAGAGCCACGATGCAAGTCCGATGCTTGACATCACCGGTCTAGGTGATGGTTTCGGATATTTTTGTTTTCCACCCTTACTTGGGGATGATTGGACCCTCTGACTAATATTTTTCTAAGTGGGTTAAAAACACCAACCACCGGTGGTTTTGGTCATGTTTGGACACCTTTTCCCCCAAGATCCACCAAAATCCTTCTCCACCATTGGCACCAACTGCCTGGGCTGGGGAATCGTGACTCGATTCGTGGAGCCCTTCAGCTCCACCGAGTGAGTTGATTCCTCGGCCTATTTGGGCTTAGGGGCATTTTTCGATAGAGCACGTTCAGAGAAATTGGGGTGTTACACCGGTGTTCCGGGACAAGGGCTTGGAGATTCACTCGATTCGAATCGTCTTCCAAGTGCCACTGGTCAAGTCAAATATGGTGCAGACAATTGATCAATTGCATCTTGCATTTACTGGAGGACGTCTACAGCTTTGCAATACCTCGAGGCACCCGTGGCCAACTCCTCTAGTGTTCCTTCCTTCCGCCCACAGCTGGAATTCAAACGAAAGCGTCGCATAGCCTTGCCGTTCGCCGTTCACGTGGTTCCTGTGGCTTACTTCCTTGTGTGGACGTACGGTAGTTCAGCCGGGCAGCCGGGCAGCATCGGCCCATGCCCAAGATGAAAAGACTCAAAGCGGGCATCCCCCATGTTTCATAGCTAATCACGATTCATAAAATTCCAGCTTGTTTTCTTAAAATAATGATCCAGCAGCTTCCCAACCTTCTGAAGCCATGGCCAAGCAGGTGGTCTCAAGGCCAACCAGGTGGTCTCGAGGCCAATCAGGTGGTCTCAAGCCTCATGGAGTCTCATGGAGTCCCCATGGAGTCAGCTCTTCAGGCTACCGGCTCTTCAGCTACTTCTGCCACCTGCACGCGGCACAACTCGATGGCACCGGTTCGGGTGATGTGGCCTCGGGAGCCTCGCCGAAGTCATTCAGCCACTTGGCTGCGAAGGGTCGTGTAGACTCTTGATTAAACTACACCCTTTGAAAAGACGGGGGGATTATTTTATAAATCAAAAGTCTACATCAGATGAGTCAGGTGCTTTGGAGCCAAAAGTTGAACGGAACAACCTCTTCATATGGGGGGATGATGAATCAAGACCCTACATTTGGTGGGTCATGTGCTCTTTGAGCCAAGGAATCAATGAAGAGGATGTCTCCCAAAACAAGTCCAGGAACTTCATCGGTCGCGTCATTTAGCCATGAATCAATGAAGATCCCAGACCATCCATGTATGGCATTATGATACATATCTGTATCTGATATATATATATATGTATACATGTCTAGTTCCATCTAGTTCCATACATTTATGCCATTTTCTCTGGTTATGACCGCAATACGGGCAACATCGGGCAACCATTACACTCACTCACATGGAGCTCAAAAAGTCACCTGTTTCCGGCCCATGTTCCACTTCCATTGTTATTGAGTCAGGAGTGTAACTCTTCCATACCCTAGGGATCCAAGTACCTCCTCAGAAGGTACTTGAACCCTCAAAACCCACATAAGAGTGTCTCCAATCACCTTCTGAGAAGGTACTTGGATCCCTAGGGATACATAATACATGGATGGTTTGGGGGATAGGAACTTCTCCACGGAGACCCGGTGTCCCAGACCGAGCTTGAGCTTCGATCTGCGGAGTTCCATCATCGAACATGTAGAAGATGTAGGCTGAATGAAGCAGAGAAAAACAGACATGGATGGTAAACACCTCCTCAGACATGGGGGGTTGAAATATCATAAAGATTCTGTTCCTACATTAAGATAAGTTGAGCTCTTCTTTGGACGCCACCACCCTCCAACGCACTGGCGCAACTGGGGTTCCCTGATCAACACGCTTTGACAATCTTTTACACGCGGGCGTGTTCGGAACGGGCTGAGGTAAATCGCGCACCACCACCGTGAACTTCGAGGACGAAGACCTCTCTGGCTCGCTCCCTCTGCAGGTGCGATCGTCAGAGTCGTCGGCATCAACACTGCAGTGGAGTTTTTTTCCTTCAGTCTTTGTCAGTTGGGCAACTTCTCCCTGCAAATCAGGAGGTCGCTTGTTCTGGACCTGAAACTTTCACCCGTTTCGGATCACATGCTTGCACCTAGGAGAAAACACCTCCACCAGGGCTGTTCAATACATGGCTTTTAAGTGTGGGGTGTGAGGTCTGGGATTGATATGGATTCATGATCCCTGATGATGCCTCACAGCCTTTCTTTGCCTATCGTTTCGGCATTTGAGCAGCTCACCCCCGTCCTACGTAGTGGCACTCCCACCGAGCACGACCGGGTTCCCAGTCGCGAGGTGGAGGCCAAAAATGTAAGAGATAGACCCTGCCAGTGACCCTGCCTATTAGAAACATAGCTCTTGACATTTAATCACTATTTTAAGGACTGATTAATTATAATAATAACTGATAGTTTATATTAATATTATAACTAATACATACTATGAATACTTAAAGTTAGTGCAATAAATGTTGTCCAGTATGTTGTACATTTGCCAACTAACAGTGGAGATAGACCCGGAGGACCACCCTACCACAGATTTATCTTCACACTCGTCCAGATGTCCGAAGGGGACCCATCCTTGACCACTTGAGTGGGCCAAAATATCACGGTGGTCCTCACAAGTTCGATGGGCTATGCCCATGGACCACTACCAAGTTCAGGGAGTCCACATGGACCACTACCACCCGAGTTCAGTGGCTTCAGTGGAGCCGTCCTGGACCTCGTCATTGGTGTCCACCCCGAAGGAACCGTTGAATCCGGCCATGGCCGCGCCCCGTGGCCGCGCCAGGACTTCAAGCGTTCGCGCTTCGTGACGATCGGCTCGCCAGAGCATGCAGACTCTCAGGTGGGCTTGGTACATGGAGAGGGGAGAGGGGGATGGGTGGACGGAGCGAAAACAACCATCCTGGTGACATTTGGGTTAATGGAGTCATGTAGACTGTAGACTCTTAAAATATATGTCACCCCCCGCATAAACAAGAGGTTTGACCATCCATGCCTGCGGGGTTTCTACATCTTCATGACTTGAGTCTACATCAGTAGGGCTGCCCTAGTCACCTAGTCACCCAGTCTTGCCCCAAAGACATGAGAAAGACGTACGCATTCAACATGTGCGCCCCCAGTTGCTAAAAGAAGAGATTGGGGTCTTCCATGCTTGAAGAGCTGTCTTTGAAAGATGCCCCATTCCACTGCGTTACGCGCGTTAGGAGGTGCTAGACTTGGAATCTGAGATTTGCCCGGAGATGCCCATGGAGGAGGTCGTGCAGATGATCCTTGGAAGGAGGTCCGATCGATTTCCGATTTAGATAGGCTTCGGACTGCAACGATTTCTGACAAATTGAACTACTGCAACTCTTCAAAGCAAGCAACTTATTTTTGAGAATCGATGTAGATCGAAGCCTACATGTTCTACATCGCGCCCCATGGACTTGGACCGGACTTGCCATAACCAACCCATCGACTGCAACGTAGCTGCAACGGACAAATGACGAGCTTGGCGTCAGTTCCCTTATGGCGTCTTGACCGTCACCGAAAGGTCAAGTGCTCGACTTGGTGCTCCGCCCAGGTCGTCGAACTGGAACAGGTCGAAGACTCTTCAACGTGACAGCAGAAATCGCATGGCCATTGATGGCACAGAAGTCGAGTAGAATGACAGTGGAATCCGTATGGGTCCACAGCCACCCTCTAAGAAGGTGATGGAGTTTGACACATAAAAGTGTAGGTGCCATGGTCGGGTCCACCTTCGGAATCCTTCGAAGGTGGATACGGAAGCAACTCGAGTCGCCGTCGTCAACTCGTCAACTCGCGGTGAGCGAGTTGGGGACGGATAAGAAAGACGACATGACTCTGACGGCGCTTCTTTTTGGGGTGGATTAAACCTGGACACATCTGATGACACATGCATGAATCTGATGACACATGCATCACATGCATGGCTGCAAATACATTGGTAAATACCTGCAAATTCCTCATATGTCTGCCACGATCCGAGCCCAGGAAGCTGGACAACCCGCTTCGGCCAGGACATTTCTACCGTCGCTTGGGCTTGGGCGCTGGGTTATCGGTTATGGGCTTGGTGGTGATGGGCCTGAGGAAGGGGACTGAGGAGGAAATCACCTCCTTCCTTTGGGAGCCAGCATGCGTGCGGACGGATCTGTGTTGAATCCCTGGTTTGGATTGTGGTACTGGTAGGTGCAAGCGGAGACAGTCGGGGAAGAGTGGGCTTGAACCAGCAATCTTTGTTTGTGCCAGCGGTGAGATGCCAAGGGTCTGCGAAGCACTGACACAAGATGTTGATGTTTCGTCCGCTGCCATGAGCAAGCACTTGGCCCTCAACTGCCGTTGCCTGTCGCGTGTGTTCCCAGGCAAGCGGAATTTGGTGACCTCTGGCTACATGCTGCACTTCGCCTCTTGGCCATCAACGGGAACAACCAAAAAACTGTACCGGTCCGTGAAGTCCTCTGAGTGAAGTCCTCCCACAGGGTGATGAGGGCTAGGCTAGGCTTTTGCCTTTGGTTGCCTGTGGCCTGATTTCTCGCATTGCCTTCCACTCAAGATGCGCGATGATGGAGGGTGGGAATGAATCAAACGGTCAGTGCCCATGCCAAACCCTCCAAGTAGGCGGGCGGCAGATGTGTTTTTGTAGGTTTTTGGTGTTGAATCAATACCCTACAAGTCAGTTTGACCTGAAATACTGGAGTTGGTCTATTTTTGTCATGGCCGGAGAAGAGAAAAACCCACGCGTCTCCGAAAAAAACACCGTTCGTCGTAGGTGGCTCCGGCGGTTGGCCTTCGGTTGGACGCCTTGCAGGCTGTGGATGAGCTGATCCGGGCCGGGACAGAGACCGAGACCCTGGAAGAGGTTCTCAGGCGTGGTCTGTTTCGTGGGACCGAAGAGATAGTGGATCACTTGAACGATTGACTTTCGGAAGGGATGAAGAAGTGATGGAGCAGATCCTAACAGGGGGTGGTACTTGCACCCCTACCCGCCCACATCCAGGTCGTTGGTCCAGCTCAGGGCGGATGTGCACAGCCGTGCCTTTGTGAAGCGGAACGTGTCGAACGACTTCTACGAGGCGAAGAAAGGGCCTACGGGGGGAAGACATCGATGGTGACTGGGTCTGTCCTAGATGGTCCCATGATCTGTCACAGTCAGTTCTTTTAAATATAACACTTATAACTTATATAGTACCATTTTTGAACAAGGCCTGCAACCCAACCATCATCATCTACTGATACTGGTGATAGGATAGACCCAACAGATGGCCTTTTTTAATCCTTTTGACTCTTTGGGTTGATTTGGTGGGTTAATTACTTCAAAAGGGACACTGGGGCGGAACGGGACGTCGGGCTTCACGGCGTGCACCCGGGCTTCTTCGGTGCTGGCGGAGCTGGGTCGTCCAAGGCTTCGGTCGAGAGGAACCCAGGTAGGTCGACCCTGGGACCGGTGGATGGGAGACGGGAGAGAATGACCTGCACCCAGAGCTCTGGTTGACGCTGCAGTCGGTTGAATTGCGGCCAGGATCGCTGTAGAAACAGGTGGGAAAAACCAGGGTTGCCATGGGTTTCCGGTTTGGACCCACGGCCATGTACCCCCAGTGTGATTCACCTGCTGCGAGATGAAGGAATTAGATGCTTGAACACGGACGCCATGTTCCTCTCCAGTTTGAGGTTCTAAAGCGGACGCTCCTCCTCAGCGGAAGCTAAGATGAATCCCCAGACTGGTGCAATCTCCTTTGCAATCACGGCAATGTAAGCTCTTGCATGGTTAATCGAGGCTCCGCATTTGGATGCAAAAACCATGTAATACCGCTTCATATGGGGTTTTATTCATCAAGCGTCTGCATTATATAATGACATCGCCGGCCTTGCATGCACGCCGCTACGTCGACCCGTGTCCAGGTGACTGCTATGCACATGGCAGCAGTGAGTCTCCCGGCAAGAAAGAGGAAGGCCTTAAAAGAGGATAAAGAGGCGAGAATCACCTACAAAGCCATGCCATAAGTTAAATGGGTTATAGTCGTCCCCAAACAGAAAAAAGTAGATCCCCGCTCAGAAAGTATTGGAAAGCGTGCCACGATCTATTTGAGGACCACTATACTTGTATCGGCATTGGCCATTTCACGAAAGGTAGCCCTTTAGGGGATACCTTGAGTTTGTCTTGCGAAGCAAGTGTTGGGACGTCCGGGTCTAATAATTGATCGCTCAATTCAGACCCCCCCCCCCTCCCCCCCTCTAAAATCAATTCTCTCCTGGAGAACGTCTTCGTGAGCCTCTCATGATTTCAGGATAGTTGAAACCCTCTTGACCATTTAGAAAGAGTGAATATGAAATTCTAATCACGAAAGGTGTTCCCCTGGGGGATACATACCTAGAGTTTGTTTTGTGAAGCACGTCAATTCTCTCCTGGGGAGCGTCTTCGTGAGCCTCTTATGGTTTCAGGATAGTTCAAATCCTATGATGTTCCGATTCAATGCTCACCGATGATCTGAGCCATGGGGCAAGTTTGTTTTCCTAAGAACCTTTTTGAACATTTCGAGAGCATATGTTTGAACATTTAGAGTGCATATGAACATATATTTACGAAAGGTCGCCTCCGAGGGGATAAATCACCATGTCGAACATTGCATTTTTTGTTCCTGCCTCTCGCGTTCTCTTCTCTTCCCGCTGTCCTACCTTTCGTGTCTCCCTCCTCTCAAGTTCCAGTAGGTTTGGTTTGGATGATGCCCTCTTTAGACATAACTTAACCATTTATACCAGGAGTTTGTGACTGTGAGGTGTTCCTTGTCCCAGAGCGATGCAACTGACAGCAGTCGTGGTGGGTAGCTCCAGACTTTCATGTTTCTGCGCCAAAGGTTCAGGTACAACAAGATGAAGTAAAAACGATCAAACGGGTGTGTTGTGGAATGTTTTGGAACCACTTGAATCGACGATTTGAGATTCGGATGCCATGAACCCCGTGACTTCTTCCCGTAAAAACCATCAACTGTAACGGTCAGACCTTACACAGACCTCAGTGGGCGCTCAGGTTTCTGTCTACCAGCAGTGGGGCTGCCCAGTGGCCTGCTGTTGCGTGGTTTGTCTTGGCCGTACTCGTGCAGTTCAGCACTGACACGGATTCGGGGTTGACGCGTTGCGTTGCTGGTTATCTTGCCATACGTGCGAACTGGGGCAACTGGGGTCAAGGTGCTTGCGCCATGTTTTCTCATGTCATGGATAAAGGTTAAAGATGCATAAAGATGCCATGACCCACTAAGGGGTGGTTCATGTCTGTTCATGGACACCCCTCAACTTCCAACATGGCCATGTCGGCCACTCTGCCTTGGGGGCCCTGGTAGTTGATCTCCGCATGTGCGAGATCTTCGTTGGTATCGACGTTCTGTTTTTGCTTGCTTCGTGCTTCTGCTTTTCCTTGCCCACACGACATCGAACCCACTTACCTGTCTCGAAGATGACAATATTTATTCGTTTCGACATGTAAAACGTGGGTTTCGACTTGCGACATGTTCGGAACCCTTGCGACCGGCTCCACTGGAAGTTGAGGTGAAGTTACTCTTGGAGATGAAGTCCTCAATCGAAGCTTGCGCAAGTTGAGGGGGCTGTGTTGACGGCCTGGGGCAGGGACAGAGCATCGGGTCGTGGACAGGGCATCCACCTTGATGATTGTGTGTAAACCAGGAGTTCACTTGTCTATCGATTGGGGGTTCACTAGACTCCCCGAAATCATCATGGAAGTGGATGGCACCACCATGCACCAACTCTTTTGGAAAGTGGTCATCCTCTTGGGGCCATGCCATACTCTTCCAAGGATTAATTATTCCAGGAGTGAAATGACTCTTTTGGAGCCCCAGGCTACCTTCCGAGGATAAGGGCAAGTCCATGTTCACGGGTGGGCGGTGGGCTGTGCAAAACCTGCACTTGAACATCTGGAACGCAATTACAAAAAGGTTTTTCTCCCCAGGGTCTCCTCACCAATCCATTATTTGGCATCCGACTGGTTCGAGTATGTTCGTGTTGGAGTTAAGCTCGCTTCGGCAGGGTGAGGATCAACATAACAAGGCATTAGGACAAATGCATGACAACCAATTGAAAGGATATTAAGGAGAAAACATAGAACCAGATAGGAAGATACTTGTAAGGACACCCTTCGACAAGTTATTACTTTATGTTTCCTATTGCTTCGCTAGTCCTAGAGACTGTTCCAAAGACTGCTATATAAATTTTGCAGAATCCTCGAACCATTCTGCTTTGCTTTTGTTGAAGGAACGCCCGGGGTGACAAATTTGTTCTAGCCATAAATTCCGGTCAATACACGTTTATCCGTCCTATACACGTCTTTCCCGTCCAATACACATCTTTCCCTGTTCACTAGCCTACAGCTACAAAATTTATGAATCCGCGGTGGGACATGTTAGCAGGATATGCCGGAGAGTGAGTTCAAGAACTGTAGTAGGCCACGGAGTGCTAGACCGGACGTGACAAACAGGGCCTTCTTGTGTACTTTGAAAAAGGGCCATGCTCACAGCATTGCACAATTTTGTTTCATTGCGCAGATTGTTGAAAAGTGCACAAGCATAACATAAAATAACTCGTACTGTATATATACCTGGTAGAACCTGGTATGGATTCCGGATTACTGCAAATGACACTTCACCTAACACCCCACCACAGCCACTCCCCGGTGTCCAACGCGCCGAGGAATCGGCGGCCACCTTTGATCGGATCCCCTGCTGGACGCCCTTGGCCGATGCCCTCCTGGCCACCGTGGACTTCGGCACCCGGCGTGCGGCCGTGGCGGCCGCGCGCAGGGAGAAGGTCTGGCGGTGTCTTTTTTGGGGAGAAAAGGTGGTGCAAAGGCGGGTGCCGTTTGGGGGAAACATTGAGAACATAGACACCTGCAGAAGTAAAAAAGTAAGTCGTGTTCGTGACCGGCAACTAGGGCGGGGGGAAGTAGATGTTTGAGTCATTCATTGAGGGTGGGTGATCCTACTACAGTTATTGAAGGCGGTACATATTGTAGCAGTGCGCAAACATAGTCAAATTTGCAGAACATTTTGTGTTGCAGGACTGTGTGGCATACATACAGGTTGCTTTTGCTACTAGGATCCATTTGTGGTTGATCGCCAGTTTGACTTCTCAAACGATGTCAATCGAAGGACGCTAAGCACTATTGATCTCTGGGCATCTTTGGGGTTTGCAAACCAGAGTCTGAGCGGCACACGCTCGCCGCTGAATGTTCCTTTCATGGTGACGTTCCGATGGCTCCGCAGGACTGTGTGGTCACGTACCTGCTGAACGAGCGTGCAAACCCAGATGGCTGCGGCGGCAGCGGAGGCCTAAGCTGCCTTCATTTGGCCGCCACCTGGTTAGCAGATAAAGTGGAGACATGTCAAGCAAAAGCTCACGGCGAGCTTCTCATCCGGTTGCAGTGCCTATGGATAGGGTGCATATGCAAAAGGTGGACTGTTTATTGTGTTTGTAGACGACCTTTTTGAAGAGCGCAAACCTGGAAGGGGCAAAATTTCTCGGAGTTTTCATCCAGCGCAGCCACTCGGAAACTGTCCGGGGAGTGGGAGGCTCAATACGTGCCAGTAGGAAAGGACCTGTTGTATGTTGAACTGAGCCTGCCGAGTGCACCAGAACGGGACCAGACAGCGAGAGAAGCCACCGGGATGCCCCCCCTTTCTCGCCGACTCCGTCCTACCGCGGATGCCGACCCCGGCGCAGGTCGGAAAGAACTGCGACTCGGAGATTGTGAGCATGCTGGTGGAGAACAGCGCGGCTCCTTGCCGCAGCGATCGACCGAACGGAGCGGCTAGGACCCGACTGACGTGGCCGAGCAGAACGGGGTCCACGGAATCACCCTTAGTTGGTTGGTCAAGAAGCAGACCCGATGGCTTCCGTCTCCACCATGAATCAATGGGCTGAATCCGGAATCAACTAGGGATTTTACAGTACAAAAACAAGGTCGTTCCCATTCTTATTCAAAGTGTAGGGATCATTCTGAGCTGAACGCTGTGGAGGCCACACGATCCACTGGGAACAAGGATTTTTTTCAGCTTCGCAACGAGGACACGAGGGTTTTTGGAGTGGTTTCCATTTCGGGGCCCCAGGGCTTTGCACTTCAAACAGCATTGAAGAGTCAGGGCCCCAGGGTAGAACCTTAGCTGCTGTCAAACAGCACAAAAACCGTGTTTCGGCATGTGTCTATGCTGAATTAGGCGGCATTATGCTTGGTCTCCCCAAGGCCCAACTGCTCGTGACTTGATGCTTGAGGATGTGACATTGAAGACCAGCACCTACGTGCGCGCCACGCGAGCTCACGGCAACCGCGGTTGGGACCGTGGCTTGACGCCGTTGCAGATTTGCGACTATGCCGACCAGGCCTCCACAGCGGTGTTTGGTGTGGTTGTTCCGTGGTTTGTGGTTTGTTGCACCCCCCTGTCAGGGCCATACAGGGCCAAGGGGGGTGTTCTTCGCGGCCGGACTTGCCCGCTAGGTGATTTGCAGAGGGGCCGGCTCTGCTGGCACTTAACATACCCTTGTTCTACCATTCTACCGATGCTTCCCTCACCTCGACATCCTCTCCATCCTTTCTGTGTGAATTGCTGGGAGCTCCTTTTCCTCTGGCAGACGGGCCGCAGGTCTATTCTCAGAAGGCACGGAGTGAAGTGATGGCACTTCTGGCACCTTCCTTGCGGGGTGCCTCCTTTTTGTTGCAGGACCGACCCACCAATCAAGCCGGCAGCCGTACCGTAAACCGTCGCTGGGACCATGGGTGATGTTTTATTTTGTGGCAGTGAACGCTCATGACTCATGACGTCCTAGGTGATCGTCTGCCAAATCCATAACTGAAGACAACGCATCCCCAGGCGTGTTCAGCTAATTAGTGTTGTATGGCTTCATTATGCACCGACAGCAGCTGGAGAACATGCGCAAAAGAGCTCGCCACACTTAAAGACAACTTGGGCTAGAGGCCATTCTGGTGACACTGCTGATTGTCCGTAGTTCAGGCATTGAGTTCGTTGGGCTGCCGGGAGGTCCCCAGCCTACATTCACTCTCTTGGGGAATTCTCGACGACGAGCATTTCAGACGTGCAGTTGTTCACATGAACTCTCAAAGGTCGATGACGTCTAGACACTTCCCAACACCTCGGTGTCTCACGTCTCACCTCTGCACCCACCCCCCCCAACCAGCCCAGAGCAATCCAGTGACCGGGACCGGACCCGAGCGACCAGGGGTACCGAACGTTCGGATCGTCGAACTCGGGTTCTGACCCACCTCTGCTGGAAGGACGTCACCAGCATGTCCGCCTTCAGCCTGAGTGCTGCGGACGAGCTGGTGAAACGAGTCATCGAGGAGGCCAAGAAGGAGCGTAGGCTTATAAAATGCTTTCATTGGAAAGAACCTGTTTTCAAAATTTAAAAAAAAGTCAAAAAAAAGTCAAAAAAAGTCAAATTGAAAAGTCAAAAAAAAGTCAACAAAAAGTCAAAAAAAAGTCAACAGTCAACAAAAAGTCAAAAAAAAAGTCAAACAAAAACTTTGCATAGGCAAACAAGTCAAGGAAAAACTTGTAACGAGGCAAATTGCATCCTTTTTGCTTATGGCTTATGGCTTTCAGTCTATTCAAAATTCTAGAACCTTTTTGGTTGTTCAACTTTCACCTTTTCCAGCCCCAAGCCAGCCCCAACCCCCTACCCCAGAGTCACCTCAGAGTCGCAGGATCCCTACCCAGCCCCAGCCACTGTCCCAGGGTCTCTTCAGCCCCAAGCCAGCTGCTGCTCAAATTTTGGGGCAGGTTGCTGCCAGGGCCAGGCTTTGGGCTGGCTGCGGCTGGCTCCTGGCGGAGGGGTCAGGTTGAGGTCGAGCTCAGGCAGGCTACAGGCGGGCTGGGGCATGCGGGGCTGGGCCGGCAAAAA